AACTTCAAACTTACAATTTCTGCACTAGTTCAAGCCACACCATCGAGTTAGATCCAAATCATATATAGAAATATAATGATGTCCGATACGAAATTTCCATGGCGGAAGGAAACCAACATTTCATCCTTTACATCCGGAAAACTTATAAATAGAAATATACTTTTGCTACACATGTAGTTGACACCAATGACTATTTCGATTACATTCCAGTCATTGCATTTCTATTAGTAAACTTCCTCGAAAAATGATGAAATAATTTTCTCTAATTACAAATTTGTGTTTTGAATGTGGTAGCATCTAGTCTAGTGGATTCTTGCTTGTGGACTACGGCCATATGTTCTGCTGCTTAGAGGGAAATTGCAGTTTGCAAAACAGCAGGCTAGATACAACTAATCTAGGTGTAGCTGAGAGCGTGTTAAAAGACTTCTATAGCATTCTAGTATCCTATTGCTGCATCTCCTTATGTGATTAAATTTGGTTGTTGTAACTCGATCTTGCATCAGCTTGTCTTCCCCGGGTCTATATTTTATGGCTAATTTGCTGTGACTTTCCTTGCTCAAACAGCCTATTCTCAATTACCAAAACAAAAATACCATTCTGCAAATTTAAAGCTTTGAAACGAGATCAATGCAGAAGCTCCCTGCATGGGAGTGATAAACCTGCCAGCCGGGCCTCCCAGGGGTTTCTCTGCTTCCCTGCATATATATGGTTCTTGCCACACTGGTCACGTCGGTGTTACTCCAATAGATCTTCTATTCCATATTGGACCAGTTCCTAATGATTAAACTGGGTTTTTGTCCGCTCTATCTTTCGCCAGTTTGCCAGTTTGCCTTGATAGAGAAGCTAATAGACACACCATTGAAAGAAGTTGAACCCCTTCTGCCCGTAATGGTTTGTATCTCATCCTAAAGAAAATATGTGGACTTTTCTAGGTCATATGTACCTTGCTCCACAAGCAATGTCTCCAATTTCTTCAAGGAGCAATTGTCACAAGAGTGGTTTCTCAATGACAAGTGACATTGCATCTTGTTTTCTATAATGGCGGCCAACAAAGCAGTTGATTTTCTTTGCAGCAAATCTCTTCCACTGTTCATAATATTTCTTGTCCTTCCCTATATGACACAAGTTATAATCAGACATCACTAAAGTTTAAAATCAAGGTGTAGCTAAAAGGATAATTAGTATTAATTAATTCAGTTGTACCAAAAAATATTAATTAATTCAAACGTAAATTGACAGAACTCAAATTTTGGTGTTGTTTGATAGTGAAAATTGTGTTGTTAAGCATTAATAGTTTAATAATATTAAATCTATTATTTATTGAATTTCTCAGGTAAAACTATGTATTTTATATGTTAATAATAAATAACATTATTTAATATGAAATATTCAGTTATTTAATAATATTTAATAGTAATACTAGCTAATATGATTTCACAATTATATCAAACAATTTTGATGCCAAATAATATTATTTATTAGATAGCTATATTGTATCATTTAAAGTATTTCCAATTATCAAATAATTTTATGTAGTTTTACAAATTGGTTTTTAAATATGTTATATTTAATTAAGTACTTTCTAATTTAATCATATTTTATATTAACTTTATAAATTACTTATAACTTTATTATAAAAATCTTTTTTTATAGTGTAAATGATTACCAAAATAATTCATCGAATGCATTGAAAAATAAATTATTGAAACTATTTTAGTGGCATGAAAATTTTCAATGGTTTCTATCTTTAGAAGAATATAAAGTTTAAAATTTAAATATACCTAATTTTCTCTTTGAACTTCCTCATTGAAAGAAAATATAAAAATTTAAAGAAAATTATGTTCTGGCTTGCTGCTGCCTGCTAATTTTTATTTTTGGTGATTGCTGCCGGCTAACTTCTTTTATATAAAGAAATTCTGATAAAATATTTTGTCGAAAATTGATTAGAATAGTTAATTAGGGATGATATATTCCTTCTATAAATTTCACACCAAACACATGTAGTTGACACCAATGACTATTTTGATTACATCCCGATCACTGCATTTTCGTTGGTAAATTTTCTCGGAAAATGATGAAATAATTTTCTCTAGTTACAAGCTTGTGTTTTGAATATGGTAGCATCTAGTCTAGTGGATTCTTGCTTGTGGACTACGGCCATATGTTCTTCTGCTTAGAGGGAAATTGCAGTTTGCAAAACAGCAGGCTTAGATACAACTAATCTGGGTAGAGCTGAAAGCGTGTTAAAGACTTCTATGGCACTATTTTTGTGGAAATTATTGACCCCAGAGGGGAAATTGCAAGTATTGTCCATTGAAGTTTACCAACAAAAACAAAGGAGCTAGGGTGAGTCATGTTGATTTGTTTCCCAAAGTCAAAGATTACCAAAGAAGACCCTTTCCTGCAGGTCACACCAGTCTTCTGCACCAAAATTCAAGCACAATGGTTCCCTTGAATGCAAGCACGAACCCACATTTTGTACGGACTGACAATACATGTACATAAGCTTTCTTTGTAATTATACTACAACTCTTTCAACAAGTAATAATCAATCTTAGGTTGAATTAAGTCACAAATACCACGGACATTGTATTCTAACTTTCCTGGGAGCATCAAACTCGAGCATTTCGTGTATATCTTTGACTAATGATAGTTTAAACTTCAAACTTACAATTTCTGCAGTAGTTCAAGCCACACCATCAAATTAGGTCCAAATCATAGAAATACAATGATGTCCGATATGAAATTTCCAAGGCAGAGGGAAACCGACATTCCTTGCAAGGAGTGTTATTTTTTCCAATCTTGATTGAAGGTGACTTTTCATACTTTGCATCCTTGAAGACTTATAAATAGATGTATACTTTTGCTAAACATGAACTGAGAAGTAAACATTGCTCAAACTTTTTGTCCAACTGTTTGACTTTCAATGGGAAGATATCTGACATTTGTTAACATTTCATTTTGGGTTGTCCTACTTTTGCTTCAAACGCAAGGATTTAGAGGTTGCTTGGAAAAGGAGAGAATTGGGTTGTTAGAGCTCAAGGCTTTTATAGAATCAGTCAGTGAAGGTCCAGATACTACACTCATTACATGGGTTGATGATCATGAAAGAAGCAATTGCTGTAGTTGGGATAGAGTTAAGTGCAATGCCACTACTGGGAGACTAATGGAGCTCTCTCTTAGTCATGCAAGGACAGGCATCCCTGGCACTTTGTTCCGAAATCACAATCTAAATATCTCTTTGTTCCATCCTTTTGAAGAACTGGTGAGTCTTGATTTATCTGACAATGGATTTGGTGGGTGGATAGATCAGACTGAAGGTAACTTTATTTACTCTCACCTACATATAATCAGTAGCTTCTCTAGATTGACACCAGTGGCGTTATTTACATTTTTACCTACCTTTGCAGGTTATACAAGATTTTCGAGCCTGAAGAAGCTGGAGAAGTTAGATCTCACTGATAACTATTTCAACACCGACATCTTCTCATCTTTCAGCCAATTCAAATCGCTCAAGACCCTGATTATGCCTTATAATGATCTGAAAGGATCCTTTCCTGTAAATGGTACTTAACTTGTCTCCTTATTCCTTCTGTTAAAGGGCGAAAAGAAAAACTTACAAAATTATATATATGAAATCAGATAAAGAAGAGTAGTCCTAGTGCAGAGAATTGGTAAACCGTGAAAACGAATATGAATATTTTAACAAAGAAAAAATGAACAATTCAAAATGTAGACAAATATATTGAAAACTTTGGATTTCAATATACAAGTCAAGATTCTTGTTGTATTACAACTCTGCCTTACAGGTTCTAAAGGATTGTTGAGTTTGAAGAAACTGGAGATTTTAGACCTTAATGGCAATCTCCTCAGTAGCAGTATCTTGTCATCATTGACAGCACTTACGTCGCTAAGGACTTTGATTCTTAGTAACAACAATATGGAGGGTTCCTTTCCTATCCAAGGTAATGTCTTGATATTTCTCTAAATATGCAGTTAATTGCATTAATTATGTAAATGTAAGCCTTTTCATTTTTTATTGCAGAACTGATAAAGTTGAAGAACTTGGAAATGCTTGATCTAAGCAGTAACCGATTTAATGATTCCATCCAAGGTAGTAATCTTCAACACTTACATATCTCCATTTCAGCCACTAATTTGTCATGTTAAGGTTTATATATACTAATGGCTCTTTTAAAACACAGTTAGTGTCTTAATTTTTCAACTCAAGTTTTGCTATGGAAAGAAAGTTTGAAATATGAGAGATATATTACAAGCAAATTCCTAGACTTAAAATGGCCTTGAACATATTCTACGTTAAAGGTTTTGCAGGATCAGGTAGTTTGAAGAAGCTACTGGTTTTAGACCTGAGTAACAATCGTTTCAGCAGCAGTGCATTCTCGTTATTGAGTGCAATCTCATCACTCAAAACTTTGATTCTTAGTAACAACCATATAGAAGGTTCACTTCCTATCAAGGGTAATGCCTGTGATCTATCTGTTGAAAGGTTCTGCAATTAATATCTCATTCTGTCATTGTCTCGTATAACCTATATTTTAACTCTTTTCTTGTGTTGGATGCAGAATTAACAAGGTTTCAAAACTTGGAATTGCTTGATCTAAGTGATAATAAATTTAATGGTTCCATACAAGGTAGAGGCAAGCATTTGATGTGATTAAAGATTCTACAGCTACACACTTTTCACATTTTAAAAATTTATCTAAAACCATTTTGTACTTGTTTTTATCAGGAATATGTGAATTGAAGAACCTCCTTGAATTGGATCTCAGTGACAACAAGTTTAGTGGCCATCTTCCAAAGTGCTTTGGCAATATGACCAACCTCCAAGTTCTTGATCTTTCATCCAATCAATTGGATGGGAACATACCATTTGATGTTAGCAATCTCAAGTTTCTGGAGTATTTGGCGCTTTTCAATAACAATTTTGAAGGCTTATTCTCACTCGGTTTATTAGCTAACCTTTCAAAACTCAAGGTGTTGGGACTTTCATCAAAAAGCAAAATGTTTCAAGTGGAAACTGAAAATTTTACTTGGCTCCCAAAATTTCAATTGAAGGCACTTGAGTTGAGCAATTGCAACCTCAATCAGAAAACTAACACCATCCCTAGTTTTCTTTTCCACCAGTATGACTTGAGATACATTGACATCTCTTTCAACAACTTGGTCGGAATGTTCCCCAATTGGTTGCTTCAGAATAACTCAAAGTTAGAAGTTATCAATTTAGTGAAGAACTTGTTCCAGGGAATCCTGCAGTTGCCCAATTCTACGCATGATTTGATTACTCTGAACATTGCAGACAACAAATTTTCAGGTCATCTCCCAAAGAATGTTGCTATGATCCTTCCGAAACTATCGTACATAGATATGTCGATGAATAGTTTTGAAGGAAGGGTTCCTTCTTCAATGGGAGAGATGAACAGTCTACACTTTCTAGATTTGTCTGCTAATAATTTTTCAGGAGAATTACCAAGAAGTCTCTCAAAAAATTGCACCAATTTGAGATTCTTGAAGCTATCAAATAACAACTTTCATGGGAAAATTTTTCCCACATATATGAACTTGACCAGGTTGCTGCACTTATATTTGAATGACAACTTTTTCACTGGGAAGATAGGAGACAAGCTGACAAACATCACTCGCTTAGAACTCCTAGACATTTCCAACAACAATGTATCGGGTGGAATTCCTCATTGGATCGGTAACATCTCCTCTCTAACTAGCATTTCAATGTCAAAAAACCTCCTGGAAGGTAGCATCTTGGACCAATTTTGCAGTTTGAAAAACCTTAAAGTTTTAGACCTCTCTGAAAATAGATTATCTGGGTCTTTATCCTGTTTGCTTAATATCTCGTCCTTGCGATTCTTGTATTTGCAAAGGAATGGTCTCAGTGGGTTACTTTCTCATGCTTTACTAAGTGAAAGCTCCCGTTTGAGTACACTTGATTTGAGAGACAACAATCTTTCAGGAAGCATTCCACCATGGATTAATACACTTTCAAAGATACGCATTCTTCTATTAGCAGGGAATCACTTACAGGGTCAAATCCCTAACCATTTATGTCAAATGCAAGTTTATATCATGGATCTTTCACGAAATCGGCTTTATGGGTCCATACCTTCATGCTTTGCCAATATATCCTTTGGGATGGCAGCGGGTGAATCTTCCTTTGTTACTAGTCTGATCAGGTTCAATGCAATTATCAGCCTTAGTTCTTATTATAGTTCCAATCTTGAACTGAACTCAGACACTAGTGGTTCTCAAAGGCCATATGAACAAGCAGAAGCAGAATTTACAACAAAATATAGACACAATTCTTACCAGGGTGACATTCTTCACTACATGTTTGGATTGGATTTGTCATGCAATGAGTTAAGTGGTGCCATTCCAGCACAAGTTGGAGAGCTGAAGAATCTTCGTGCGTTGAATCTCTCGCATAATAAGTTATCTGGATCTATACCAGTGAGCTTTTCTGGCCTCAAACAAATAGAAAGTCTAGACCTTTCAAGCAACAACTTGAGTGGCCAAATTCCTTCTCAATTGACTGAGCTACATTTTTTATCCATATTCAATGTGTCATACAACAACTTGTCCGGGATGACCCCTGATAAAGGTCAGTTTGCAACATTTGATAGGAGCAGTTATGAAGGTAATCCTAGTCTTTGTGGCTCCCTCATTGAAAAGAGTTGCAACAGCTCGGAGGTGCCCCCAACAACAGTGCCCTTTAATGGAGAAGAGAATGACAGTATGGTAGATATGGTGGCATTTGGTTGGACTTTTTCAGCTTCATATGCTATGGTACTATTGGCGTTAGCCGCAGTCCTCTACATCAATCCTCACTGGTGTTATCTCTGGTTTAATTTCGTTGATTGGATCATTTATTTATGCTTCAAAAGGTTTAGTTCAATGTAACATTCTCTTGGTGGTCTTGCCAAGCCTAAATAACATTAAGTGGACATTCTTTACTTACATTTCAGATGTTGGTAAACTCTACGATATAATAATTTGGAGGAGTATTCCCAATCTAGCTATTGCATTGCATCTAGGTTTATGCCAAGGTCAATTAAAAATCGACTTAATCGAATTAAGACAAAATTCGATTAATTCGGTGTGGTTAATTTAGTTAAAATAGTTTATTCAATTAAAAAATTTAGTTAATATAATTAAGTTGGTTTAATTCAATTATGAAATTTTTAAACTAAATAAAATCAAAGTGAACCATCTTTGTCCTGCAATATATTTTTATCTAGATTTATGAGTAAATTTATCGCCTTCACTTTCAAATCTTCAAATAATTCAATTATTGTAAAAATGGTAAATGATACAAAATTTCATAGACGGCGTGATTCTTAAATCCAAATGAATATCAAAATCAAATTTGGAGGAAATTTTGATGGAGTACATTGTTTGCTAACTTGAACCCTAAAGAATTTCCATTATTGCTAGGCATAAACAGGCAAAAGATAGCTAATTCCAAAATTCGACTGACAATTTGCTAATAGTATCATAAGCAAAATTATAGCTAGAATACACACAATGGTCAACAAAAAGGAACCATCTTCTTCACCAAGCAAGGGTTGATGAAGAGAACAATCACGAAACCTAGCAAAAGCATGATATATGTCACAGCAAAAGTTGCATATATAAAAGACGGTAGAATCAACTTCAAACCATTTGTCGTTAGTTTCATCTAAAGAAACCATTGACGAGTGTGGTGTCTCAATGCAATTTTTCCTTAATGGTAGTCCACAAAGCAATGGATTTTCTTTATAACTACTCTCTTCAAATGCTGAGAATTGCTTCGTATCTGGAATTGTTGGGTGTCTCATTGAAGACTTCTAAATATTTCAAGCTGGTCAGCTCCGAAGTGATATGCCCACTCAATTGGTTATAGGAAACGTCCAAACTTTCTACTTCAGCAAGGTTGGAGAAAGAAGTTGGGATGGATCCCACCAACCTATTGTGAGATAAGTTCAGTGCGTGGATTGAGGATACGTCGAAGGGATTTGTCCTATTGGATTGTTGCATGACAAATCAAGTCCTGATATCAAATATTTTATGTCACCCTCATAGGAGTAGAGCCTATTTTTGGTCACAAAATCAATCTCAAATCCTCTTCCATGGATGTAATCTGTGGAGGCAATAAATTTTCTCAAATTTCCGTGTATTTGGTATACCGGGGTGGGTGTCAGCCCTCCATCAAGAGTTTCTTCTTGAAGGATATGACTTTGATCACTACTCTCAGGAGCTTGATCTTCCCGATGGTAATTTTGGAGAAACATAGAGGTATTGACCCAGAAAAAAAAGTTGTCAGAAAGATCCAAGATGCTTATATTTTCTAATTGACGACATAATTGCTTTGGAATTAAACCACCCAAATAGTTATTTCCAAACGAAAGAACTCTCAAGCTGGGAACTGTGCCAATCAAGCCCGGATTACTAGTCTCTAAGATTCAACACCTTCAAAGCCGAGAAATTGAGAAGAGCACTTGGTATTGGTCCTGACAATCCAAATTAAGTTGCTTTAACCTTGGTCAAAGCAAAAGGTAATGACCCCGAAAGAGGGTTGTAAGAAAAGTCCAAGTACTCCGCATGTAGAAATTGCCCTTTGTAAGGAAAGCGGCCTTCCAAAGAATTCCCTCGCAGAGAAAGCACCGCTACATACGACAGATCACAAATCCAACTAGGAAGTTCACTTGTCATAAAATTGTTGCTAACATCCAAAAAATCTATCATGGTGGAAAGTCTCGCATTGTTGGCAAGACTTCCTGTGAAATGGTTGTTACTCAAGTCTAGGTACGATAAACGACTCAAGTTAAAGCAACGGGAAGAAAATATTTTACCAAGAAACTTATTATGTGATAACAGTAGGCCTATCAAGTTAGTGTAACATGTTACTAACCCCCTAGGTACTTCTCCTGAGAAATTATTGGAAGACAAATCCAACACCTCCAACTGATTTCTAGTGGGACAGATTGAGGATGGAAGATCACCTTGGAGATAGCTATTGGACAGATTAATGCATCTTGAATTTGAGAGTATCCTTCTAAAATCTTGTTGAAGTTGCCCACTTAAGTCATTTCTTGAGACATCAACCCAATCCATATTGCTTGTAGAATTTGTTGGCAAACAAAACTGACCCGCAAAAGAGTTATTCCTTAGATTAAAAAATTCTAACCCAGTGTTGTTCTCAAGTAACCAAGCAGGGAACTACCATTCAACTTCTTGTGAGAGAGATCAACTGCTCTTAGTCGATATTGGTGATGGAGAAAATGAGGAATATTATTCAGATTACAGTTGGAGAGTTTCAGTGACTTTAACTGAAACAGCAATGGGTTCTGATTTGAATATTCAACATCTATGATCTTTAATTTGTTGCCATCACAAGTGAGTGCGATCATCTCAAGCTTGGAGTGATTTGCAAGCTGTGAATGAACCTTCAAAATGGTTATCACTAAGATCAATGAACCGAAGAAATTTCAACTTGTTTAGGCATGGCGGAATCAGCCCTTCAAAACTATTACTGCTGAGATCTAACTCTTCAAGTCTCTCTAGTTCACATAAACCTAGTAAAAGGAAAGAAACTTGTGTAAGATATAAGTATATAATGAACTAGAAGATCTCTTAATATATAATTATATAATTTGTAAGTAATTTAATTATATACCTGGAATCGGTAAAGAGCCATTAAATGCATTCCCTGTCAAGGATAATGACTTGAGCGAACTCAGTTCCCTCACATTTGAAGGAATATTCCCAACAATATGATTCCATTTCAAATGCAATATCTTCAGTCCTCAAATCTGTCAACATAAATAAAAATAAATAATCCAATTAATAAAAATAACCTAAACTTGAGAAGACTTTAATCCGAAATAACCCAAATTATAAATTATTTGAATTTTCTTCGACATGAAGTACCTTAATCCTACTCATCCAATTTCCACTTAGCTAGCTATATAATAGTTCTACTATTCTATCCATTGACAGTAGAGTTTTCAAACTCTACAAATGGGCTTATAAAGTTTTTGTATATCCATTTATAGTAATCATATTAGCTAATTAATTAATTTTCTTAAATATATATCTTAATTAATTAGAACATACAACAACCCTCTTAACGTATTTGTGAAGTTTGAAACTTTGCAATATACTAGATAAGTTTCCAATAAACAAAGAAAAATCAAGTTAAACCATTGCAAAACTTTCTAATTCTTACATCCTTCCACAACATTTTGTACTTAAATGATTTTTTAACAAATAAATAGTTAAAATTTAAAACATATTTATACTCATCATTCACCTAAAATTTTAAGTTAATTTGATATCCATATCACAACGCCCATGTTAGTCATTTTTGTCAATGAACAAGTGAACATGCTCACATTGTAAGAGACATTTAATTAAGTGACCAAAAACAAAAGTACATACTCAAATTGTTATAATGATAGCAACAAATACTTATGCATTTTTAATCAACTTGAAAATTACATACATGATGATTAAATAATAAAATATAAAGAGACATAAAAATGTGTAAAACTTAATATTTGTTTCATATATAGCAGTGTACCTTGATCAGAAAGGGATCCTTCCATTGCATTGTTAGAAAGAATCAGAGACTTAAGTGATGGAAGTAGCGAGACCAACAACCTCATAAACTCTATGTTCAATGAACTCGAATCCAGATTGAGGTATTCCAACTTACTCAGCCTAGAAATATTTTGTAGATCTGAGAAATTATAAAGAACAATTAATTATTGTCAACTGTTATTTAATCGAAATTGATTTCTTTTTTCAAAATCATATATTTTTAATAAATAGGTAGAAGGAGTACTACATCAATGTCGATTCGAGTTTGTTGTCATAAACAATCTAATCATAAACTCGATGCGGTATACCACTCAATAATTAGTGAAGATTTAAAGCATTTGTACCCTTTTTTTCACTTACCCTGCATTGTTAGAAAGCCTTCAAACTCATTGTTGCTTAAGTCGAACGTCTCCAAGTTTTCAAAAACTGATAACTCTGCAAGAAAATGTTGGTATATTGTATACGTGATTGTTATTCTTGCATGTACAATATAGTGTTCTTTTGATTGATTTGATAATAACAATAACATTAAACTAAAAAAGAGTAAATTATAAATAAGCATGCATGTATGTATAAATTTATTTTTTTATTATTATAATTATGACATTCACGTATTAAACCATGCATGCACGTACCTTGGACAGGAAAGGATCCTCCCATCATATTTTCACCAAAATTAAGATGCTTAAGAGACGTGAGGTGGGTCAAGAACCATAGGGAACTCCTATTCCGCAACAAGTTATAAGATAGATTTAAGGTCTCCAGTTGTTCCAGTAGCAAAAAGCTACTACATCCTGCAATTAACTAGCTAGGATTATTAATTACTACAAGATTAATTAAGTCGATACTAATGTACCTTCATTGTCATTAATCCAGCCCATAATCCCATTCCAAGATAAATCAAGAACCTTCAGCTCCTTAAGCGGCTGGAACTTAGATATGTTAAGCAGAGATGGGAAATAGCCTCCGTTTCCTGATGCAGCAACAAAATGGCCACGTAAGAGCTCAATTACGTGACCATTGTGGCTGGCGCATGTGACTTCCTCCCACAGGCAACAGTCGCTCCCGGGATCATCCTCAACCCAGGAAGGGAGAAAGTGGTCTGCATCGTGTGGGCAAGTTGATTTGGTATATGCCTTGAATTCTAACAGGCTCATCCTCTCCTCGTCGTAGCAAACGTTGGTGCCCATGGATTACTTGGACCAAAAGGATCAAACCCAAGAACAGCGAAAACAACTTAGCCATTAGGCTAGGGTATATATGCTGCTGTTGCAATGCAAGAAGCTTTATATATATTATATCAACTTCACCGACAGGCCTCAACGCTATTTGCACTATCAATGTAAAACGTTTTGTTTCCTTCATTTATTCGCTTCGTTCAAATTCAAAGCTATTCCTTAATTAATTAGCTTCTTTCCCTTTCCCAGAAGTAGTATACTGCAGGGTGTGTGGGCTGCTTACAGAAATCGTTTTTCTATCCTTCCTAAACTTCAAACTGTGTGATAGATATATGGCTACATGGGCTGATCATGTAACCCAAAAGACATTATTACACTAAAAGCTTGCAAAGCCTTGGCCACTCTTATTGATTAGCCATATTTACGCCAAGGTTGACTCAAAAGCATGAATTACATTTTGTTCTTGTTGAGTTACTCGTTTTTTGTGGCAGATCAGTAGGCTGAATCTTTGTAACTAATTATTTGGTCCACCTCCTCTTCACTTGCATATAAGATTGTAACTATTAAATTTAACATTAAATTGAATTTACAATCTATGACCCAACCAAAATCTCTCTTCAAGAATTTGATTAGGTTCCACTGTAGTTTCTACAAAAGTTGGGTTTCCTTTATATTGTCATATGAATTGTTCAACTGAATGCAAATTTGTAGTGGAAGGAGAACAGGATGGCCAACACAGTGTAACAAGTGCTTCAGGCTGAATGAATTGTCCTAGAACTTTTTTCACATAATTCAACTTTCAATGTAGGATTGAAGAGCTACATAACACAAATGGAAGTACAGCAAATGAAATAAATAGTTTAATATTTGCTAGAATGAATTGATCTTTCCACAAATATAAATACTTGACTCCCTACCAATTAGGGGGATAAAGAATTACTTGGATAATTGGACTCCTCCTCATGCCCCAAAAGGTCTTGACCCAGCTTAACAAATAAAGTTAACACCAAATTTCTTTCACTTCTTCTTCTTAGGTGGTGGTTGCTCCTGCTCATCCTCATCGCTGTCATTGTCATCATCGTCATCCTCTTCGTCATCATCATCTTCATCATTGTCATCGTCTTCATCATCATCGTCACTTTCTTCATAACCGTGAGCTTCGACATCATCATCGGAATCATCCTCATTATCATCACTGTCTTCTTCTGACTCGGCTTCATCATCTTCATCATCTGTTTTATCACCATCGTCATCATCTTCATTGTCATTGTCACCAGCATCTTTGTTCTCAGAAACGGTCTCTTGCATTTTAATTAGGTCAGCCAAAGAAAATCTGCAATGCAGTTGGCATATCCACTATCCGATTACTCTTTTACTATTTTTACATCATATTTGATGATTAATCAAGAGATCAAAAACAGGAAACAACTAAATCAATCCATACCTTTGATCAAAAGAAATGGGCATATCATCAGGCTTAGTAGATCCAATCTGGGAAAGAATTTACAAGAAAATACATAAACACAATGGCAGAACATACATAAAGAAGCATATAGTAACAACTGCATATTTCCAAAACAATTACTGAACTTTCTGGAATAAAAAAAATAAAAAAAAAGGCTGGAAAAAATGCAAAAGACAAGAAAATGCATAATGGAGATTAACATGGAGTTAATGAACAAGCATAATATACCTTAAAGAAATGACCACACAATCTCAAAATTGATGTACAAAGCTCAGAAGCAAGTAATTGTTGGACACAGATGGAAAATATATATATATAATCACATTATCTCCTATATTTATAAGATGAAGTAGTAGTCAAAGCACTAAGCATTTATCACCATTCAGCTGGAAGCTGAAACCTTTTTTTTTTTTTTTCTCAGCCAAAAGTGGGATTTTATATATATATATCACTGATAAATACAGCGTTGGGTATAGCTTTGAAGCAACCCTGGAAAGTATAACACCTGGATACACCTTTCGACATATGCCATATTAAGCCATTAGATAAATGGATAGAAATATTAGAGCATAGACCATAGGCTATGAATCTAAAACCTACCTTGACAAACTACGCATAGAATCTTGTTCATGGGAATGAACATAACCACAAAACCTAACATTTTAAAATCATTCCCACCCTTTTTCCCTTTCCAACAGCTGAGAGCAGGGGCCCAACCTAAATTACTCCTTGGCTTACACCTTGAAAATACTAATTTCAGGGGCTTTGACAGTACCTCCTTGCATTACTTCCTGATTTTGTTGCAGAGAAGGTTAAGGGGTTTTAAAATTGATGATAGATTTCTAATTTTGTGCTTAAACTGATTTGTTTTTGGCAGCTAATTGACTCCATAAGCTTAGTCCACATAATTGCTTACAACTTAAAAACGGGCCAAAAACCTTTGGAAGAGGTTAACTATCTAAAACTCTAAATATCTTTCCTTTTCCTTGCATTAGCTTAGCAACCAAATAATCATGAAAAAAAAGCAAAAATGGAAAAAGAGTCCCAATATGTGCAAAACAACATAAACAGTAGAAGAGAAAGTCCCAATTAAGTTACTTATATAGTATATAACGAGATGCAGAACATCAGTCTAAGTCCAACAAAGTTATCCAAAAGAGAATCTAGTGCATAGATTATGCAAATTGACCACATACAAGCCATGAAAGCATCAAAAGATAGCAGCATTGTTAATTAAAAGCCTCAACCTTGCTCATTTAAGAGATTGCCCATCAACAGCAAACATGCACCAAACTTAGAAGACCCAAGACTGAAAGCTACTCTTGCTGATTAAAAACTACCCATTAACTTAAAAACATGAGCACTATCCAGTCAGAGTAACCATACAAAGTAAAATAGAAAAAAAAAAAAGAAAGAAAGTGAGAAATGCACCAGAAATAGAAGCCAAAGAAGAGATTTGTGAGCAAGCAGAGTAGTTTCCAGTAACGAAGATTCAAGCAGTGAACAAAAAATGCTGTTGTGGGACAGACTTTTAATCTCCATTTTAGAATTGGGAAGGTAATTGACTTCTACAATAACAAGTAATGAAGGCTGAGAAAGAGAAGAGGGGCTACACAAAGGCAAAACAGTGTGAGAAAAGGGTTTGAAGGTGGTTTTAGTTGGAAAATCTATGGGAGTGAGAGTGAGGGATTTACTTGTTTGTCATGTTCTCGACTTTCACTCTGCACCTCTCCCACGTCAGCTTCCATTTTTGTTTTCGTCAATTCTTCAATCTCCGGTGCATATGGGGGAAGATGCTTTTTGCCCACTTCGCACAAGTTCTAAATTACCATAATCATAGCATGTAGATACATATTTTTTGTTTTCATCTGTACCTTTGCAACAAGTTTTATATATATATATATATATATATATATATATATATATATATATATCTAAAACCTTATATAAAAAAAAATTTATAAAAAGTCTCATATAATATTTCGTGTTAAAAGAAGTGATCAAATTTTTTATCGTAAAATCATTAAGAGAGAATTGTAATGAAGTTTGATCTTAGACGGATCGCATAATTGGTGATTATTATAAAGTTTGATCTTAGACGGATTGCATCATTGGTGACTTGTACAAATGATACGTCGTAATTAGTAAAATTTATTAAATCAAATTCTAATTTTCTTAAAACATAAAAAAACCAGTGCAATAAGAGATAAAATTTGAGTTTGAAAGTAAAAAAATGTTGTTTGAATTGAAAATATAAAATCGTTACAAAATCTATCTAACTCTTTTTTCACTTATGTCATACATCATTGTAAGTCCAACCAAAGTGAATTCTTCTTTATAAGTGAATGGAAGAGTTAATGTAATGAGAACAAAAAATCAATGTTAAGTCCAAATCAAAATAAATCCTGCTTCTTTATATAAGTGAAAGAATTAGATCAAAATAAATACCTTCGCTCTATAAATAAATGCCTCAATGCAACAAGAAATGAATCTTGAATTTATAAATATTTTTCTTTTACCAATAAGCATATTTTTTCTTTATTGAAGATTTGAACCCAAACCACTTCTTTCACAAAATCTGTAAGGCCAAAACATTATTCTCAACCTAGTGTTGTTTTTCTATTTGTTATGAACAAAAAGGCCAAGAAAAAAAAAACAGAAAGAAGTGTAGTTTCCAATAAGCAGTGATGGGTTGAAAAAGGCTATTAGAACAAAGGAGTAACTTTTGAGGGCGTGTGCACAACAGGTTAAAAGTGTAGCCATTCTTCTCTTTAGTATGGGGAATCAATGAAGCTTTTCTTATCCTTTACCAGCAAGCTTACATAAAACAGATCGATGGAAACCACTGGAATACAAAAAATCGACTTTCTGTACTTGAGAAATCTCGGGTCTTTAGTCTTTACTAGCAGATACATGCAGGCACTCCTTGCATATTCAGGTATTTTTGTATTTCATAAATGCAACAGAGAGTACAGAGGAGGCAGATGAGGTGATGAGGTCAAAAAGGTCTTGCTCAGTGAATCATAATAAACAAGCTTTAAAGCCTGACTCCAGTTCCTGTGCATTCATGTTCTTCCCGATGAATACAATCTTGTTCACTCTGGGTTCATCTGCACCCCATAGCCGATCAGGTGAACCTTGGAATATGTCATGAACTCCCTGTTCAATTGCAAAATAAAGTCAAAAGACAAGACCATCTGAATATAAAATACATTAACTGAAATCAACACTTCATTGCATTCGAATGCAAAACTGTGAAATGATCATTTAAAAAAAATAATAAAAGAGAAAAAAAAAAGAGTCAAGAGGTATATGTTAGTTTCCTCATGCAAGTTTTATTCACAACAAGAGGAAAAAAGAAAAGGATTTAGGTTCTTCAGTTTGATAAAGTTCTAACTGCATTTAAAATAAAAATAAAAGAGACCAAGGTGGTGAGAGATCATCACAGCCAGGAACTTACTATACTAACAAAGGTGCCCAACATTATATAAAAGTACAAATAAGTAGTTTTAGGTGAACTCATTAATCAGGGAACAGGAACATCTTTCATCTCTCGATGTCCCATGAGAAATTGTAACAAAATTATTTTCAAAGAAGATTCACTTAGCAATGCATACACTTCTAAAGAAAGTAATAAAGGTACTAAAAACAAGAGAAAAGAAAGTGATAAAGACAATCCAAAACTACGTCATTAGTTTATCACATGATTTGGATGAGAACAAGATATACAATAGGCTGCTTCTCAAATTTGATGGGTCAGCACAGCAGAAAAAAATAAGAAAACAACCAGCCAAATCAAAATGGCACTTAGCTCACCTGAAAGACGAATCTCTCATTCATACCCTGAACCGAAAGAAGACCTTTCATCCGATAAATGTCCTCACTACGTTCCAACAATAATGTACCTAGCCATATGTTAGCCTGCAAGAAAAGTAGTGAAGTAAATGAATCCATGATGAAAGTTCTTAACTAGCTACCAACCAAAAAAAAAATGTCTTTCCAAAATAAAGAAAAAAAATTTACAAAGCACCTATTCAGACAGGAGACATCCAGCATTTATCAGATAGGCCAGTTAATATGTCCATAACTTTTATTAGGATCGTAAAAATCTACTATCTAGAACTGGACGATAGCATATGCTTTAAAACCAACCTTCTCAAGATCTAAGCTTCCCTCACAAACTATGCTTACAGAAGAAACGCCTGGATCGTGAGTATGATCATGGGAATGATGATCATGATGATGTTCTGCATATAAAGGTGCAAAGCATTAACTTCGCTATAAGTAGAGGAATAAAGGTTTCAGTACATTAGGGCTCAGCCTGATGATCAGTTGATCACAGTAAACTAAACAGATACAAAATTTGTAAAATTAGCATGCAAAACCACATCCAAATCCCCTTGCCGCTGAAAATCAAAAACAAGAGAGCCTAAATTAGAAAAATTAAAAACAAGAAAAAGTAGGAAGACAGCCTAAACCACAAGCCTAGTAACTAGTGACAAAGAATGGATATTTTGGCATTGAGGAAGTAAGGCACGGCTTAAGGACCATGGATGTTATTAACATTATTTGAGTAGACAGATAGCTACACAAATTAATTTTGAGACTTCAAGCTCCCATGGGATGTAGCTTGCTGTCCATATTAAAAAACAATAGTATGAAGGAATGCCCAGTCTCTGAATTAGGATACCAGTGAGCAAGCACCACAGATTGCTAGTAATATCTCTTTTCTTCCCGATCTTCTACACCCTGTCCATTTCTCTACATAATCACAAACATCAATAGTAGATCTTGGCCAAAAGCATCAATATGCCTTCGCTTAAGTGTCAAATCTACATAACTAAAATTTCAAATATTCAAGATTCAGGTCCTCAGATTTTGAAAAAATGAAACTGGATTTTTGCGCTGAGAAGACAATTTGGCCACCCCCTATGAACACTATGAACACCATGTATCACTTAGGAGAGCCACAAATTAGGTGGTAAGTGAATTAGCAACTAGTCCAAGAGATTATTTGTAGCTGATAAAGTTTGTAATTATGTCTTCAGCAATTTGACCTTTGCAGCATATGATCAAACTCATTCTTGCTACTACCATCTTCCACCCTATTGATTTGTTTGTCCAGCAATTACCTCTTTAGTCATTAAGTCAATAAGACCTTGACACAGTTCAAATTCATGAAACATTAATATCTATACCGCATATATCTCCTTAGGGACACCCGGACACATCACAAATGCATTCACGGTCACTACCTGATTTAGAATGTATCAAAGCAAAAATCAAGGCTTCTATAATGGAAATTACGACATGGCTTAGAGAAGATAGTATGTAAACAACAAAGATTTCTGCAGATTATAGCAAGAAAGTAATCCAAATCGCTATTAGAAACCAAATTAAACCAAAGATTGCCCTTCATGGATGATATTGAGATAGCATACTAATGCAATGGGCCTATCACTAATAAAGAAAAACATGACATAAATGAACAAAACATTTAAAACACATGCAATATGACAAGTAAGAATCAAGAAAAATAAAGTTACCATGTTCATGGTGGTGTTTGTCATCACGATGATGATGGTGATGGTGGTCATGATCATGGCCATGGTGAGCATGATCATCCTTTGCACCTTCATCATTGACAGAACTCTCAATCCTGCCAAGATTTTAGCAACAGTAAATCCAAAACCAAAATTCAGGAGGCAATGAACAGCCAAGAATTCTAAGTATAAAAGATCATCGTTACTGTAAGTTCTGATATTGCCATGTAAGAGATGAAACTAAATAAATCTAGAAAATCATGGTGTAGGTTAAAGAGTGAGTGCATGATGCCAGCAAATCCAGAAATGACTCATTCCTGAAGTTTCTGATATTGTTGAAAACCCACAAATCCGAATATAAACCACCCCCCCTCCCCCCCCTTTTATATTTTCAAAGGGAGAGAAGGAGCAGATTAAAAGAAAAAATGAGAAGGAATTAAAGATAACATGGATTTTACCATCCCTGATGTAGTTGTATAACTAAAATGGTGTCCAAGAAGTAAATTCAATCAAATAATATTAATGGAAAAGGGCTCAGATAGCAGATCTAAGAACAATCAGAGACTGGAGGAACACTTCTTTGTCAACAGCAAAAGATGATCATATTATATATGATAAAAAGAGCATCAGCAATGTAATAGATAATAATTTCCTTTGCTAAAAATGGAGCTATGTAAAAGCAGGAAACAACCTCTCCAGATCAAAACCTCCAATTCCAAGAACATACTCCAAGTCAACTTTTCCAAACTCTGTGCGCTTCAGATGAGCCATACCATTAATGTTCTGCAAGCAGGCAGGCAATCTCATCTTCAATCAGAATTAAGCAAAATATATCATAACTAAGAGCATCAAAAGTTAGAATAAAATAACAAAGAATAAAAAAGCAGAATGCCAACCCGTATCCGTTTAACCAAAGTAGCAATTTCTGGCTCTCCAACAAGATCAGTCTAGCCAAAATATAAATAATCATGTCAGACAGCCATTAGAGAAGCAAATTCAACACCATAAGAAAACAGTCTTTGAACGTATCCAATAAGAGTTTCAAATGAACAACTTCTAAGTTGAGGTGGTTTTAATAAACTATAGAGGCAGAAAATAAATGAAGCTCTGTTTGTTTAAATGATGAAGACAAGTGTTCCATTATACTGACATTGGCGTACGCACATCCAGAGAACGTATCAGAGAATGTAAAAATGGTTTCAACAAAATCAAATGTATGCAGTGGCAAGTAACGAAATTACAGAAGCAAGGAATGCACTTCGAATCAAAGTTCAAGTGAATTATGTAAATAATTTTTCAATTTGATCTTGAAGAGTGCCCAACTGAGTGCAGTACACATCACAAATTTAGTAACCACAAATACCTTGTTTACAATAATACGATCAGCATAAGCAATTTGCTCTACTGCCTCATTCACCACCCCCTTTGGTTTGACCTCATCCAGATGAAAACCAGCATGTTTGGCATCAACCAAAGTAACAACACCATCCAACTTGACATCATTGAAAACCTGATCCTCAGCGTAAAAAGTCTGAATGATTGGTGCAGGATTTGCCAATCCTGATAAGGTGAACATAGTATGTAGCATAAGCAAATACAATAACTCCTCATGCTCAAGCCAAGGAAATAGTCAGAGATACACCAAATGCAACAAGACATATACAATGAAAAATAAACAACCATTAATCTCCTTTATAGTTATTTCATGGGCCTTTGAGAAAATTCCTACCTGTAGTCTCTATTACAATGTGGTCAAATTTCCCTTTCTTCTTATTGACTAGCTCTGCAATCAACCTCACAAGATCACCCCTTACAGTACAGCAAAGACAGCCATTGTTAAGCATGACTATATCCTCAGCCCCAGCAGCTTTAGCAGCAACAAGAGATCCATCAATGTCTATTTCACCGTACTGAAATTTTCAAATTGAAAAAATTAAATAACTCGTTAATGTCTCACCCAATCTAATGATTTCCAAAAGACAAACTACTAGTAACCATCAATTGCCATCACATCAAGCAAAGAAATTTAAAGCAGAATCAAACTTCATACCTCATTCTCTATCACTGCTATGCGCTTACCATGATCTGCAGTCAAGATGTGATTGAGTAATGTTGTCTGTTCATCAACACATAGAAACAGATCAATACAACCAGCCAACTGACACAATTTTCAAAAAAACTTGAAAAGAAAAAACCGAATTCCTGTCAAAAGAAGAAAATGCAAAAAAAAATTATTGCTAAATGTAGATAAGATAACAAGAGACAGATAGGTGCACAACATTTACACCAATCAGCATTGTTTAATGGCATTTTAACATACTAGTCACAATTTTGAATTTTAACAAAAAATAAAATAAAAAAATCCGCCACTTTTCATACGTTAATTTAGTCCCCATTATAAAAATAATTCAGAATTATCAAATTGGACAAAGTTAATAACATCCTATCAGCTCAAGTGACAAACTTGGCAATTATTCCTATATGTTGCTCACCAAAGGCAACATTTTGTTTCTTCATATTACAAGTATTACTGCTAATTCCAAAGCCAAAATCCAATAAATTCGTTAAAAATTCACAAACTAACCAGAAAAATAACAGAATCAAACTAACCCAGTAATCAAAATATTGAAACTTCAAAGACCATTTTGCCCTCAGGCTATACGAACAATAAAATAAAATAGGAATTATTACCTTGCCAGAGCCCAAAAACCCAGTAATTATGGTGGCGGGAATGCGGTTATCAGGCGGGATTTTGGTGGAAACATCGGAATCCTCGCTCTGCGGAGTCGTAGTGGCAGTGGCAGAGACCGAGAATCTACGGCGGTGAGCTTTGCAGAAATCGGAGGATGTGATGATCGTGCGAGGCAAAGAAGACGTCGTTTTGGAAGAAAGGGGTTGAGTTTTGATGGTAGTGGGTTTGAAGAAGAGAGGAAGCAAGGTAGTTCTGATTCCAGAGAGTGGTGGGGTTCGGTGGTGGTGGCCGCGGCAACGGGTGGTGATGTTGAAGAAAGTAGTGGCTATATCCATGGATAGCGTCGCCATTTCTTTCTCGTTGCTTCTTCCTCACTTGGGTTTATCTTCGGATGTGGAGTATGGAGGTTTTGGCTTGGGGTTTAAGATATTTTCGGGAATTTTGGGCTTTTAGATTTTGGGTTGGTCTTATAGATTCTCCTATGCCTTGTTGTCGTTTCCTGTTAAATACTCAAGTGAGCCAAGTTATCCCTTGTCTTTTCTATTTACTGTATTCAAATAAATTTTTAAATCATAAATAATATTTATTATCACATCATTTATCACGTGATATATTGATCTGTCATATTATTAAAAATTATTGATTTAAAATTAAATTTTTTTAAATAATTAAAATATATTGATTAGAAATTTAAAATAAAAAATTTTAAAAAATTAATTATTTTAAATTGATTATCATCGTTTTTTAACGAATTACCATCCATCCTTTCTTAAAAAAAACTAATTTGACTTTTTCAGTTTGATTGAAACTATTGTTACTTAACTAAAAGTTGGTATAAAAAAATCCAAGAATACCTAAAAACTATTTTGAGAAAAGGAAAAGTAAAGATAAGACACACAACGTTTATAATACTGAAACTAACAAAGACACACAATGTTAATCTACAGTAAAAGAAAGTCAAATTCTTCTTTTCTTTTCTCAAAAATCTATAAGAAAAATCTAATACTTTTCTTTTTTCTACAATCTGTAAGCGAAATCTAATGGTATTAAATTTTATTTACCAACAATAATAGATTCTCTCTTTATATTTTTCAAAGATTTTAAAAATTCAAAACTATCCAAAAAAAGATTTTTAAGAGAGGAATAGAAATTGCAAATATGGAAACGATATTCTGACTATAAGGTAGTTAGGTTTTAGAAATGTTGAAGAAAGTGAAGATTTGTTTTGTTAGAAATGATGGCCTAAATTAAAAAGATAGTAATAAGTAAAGAAAGGATAGTAATCACTTTGAAACAATTGCACTCTAGCATTTGGCTTATTCGTTAGTGTATAATTTTCTACTTAAAAAAGTAAGATTCAAATCCCACTCCTCTAATTAAAAAAATTAGAGTAAAGTAATTAGTTTTTTTTAAATTTTTTTTATTTAAATCCCTAACTAATAATTTTTGAATATTTATATAGGTAAAATGAAAAAACGGAAAAAAATCACTTAATTACTAGTCAATAATTTTATATACCACGTCATCCATCACAGAAAGTTAACGTTATCAAGATACCATGTCAACCTGTCACATGGAAGATGATGTAACATCAAAAATTGCTAATTGTTCTATTGTCAAATGTTAGTGTGAGAGGCTTATTCAATCTTAAAAAAGTTTAAGAGCTTATATTGCTAATTGACTTTTTTAAGATAGTTCAAGAGCTTATTTACATATTTAGTCTATTAATTTTTATCTCGTGCAATGTACGAGACCATTTTTAGAAATAAATTTATCATATAAGCAGGTAATATTTTGCAATATAAAAAACAAGAAGGAAGTGATGTTAATAAAATAACAAGAATAGTTAATTGATATTATAATATTGTGATTTTTTTAACGAATAATTTGTAATTTTCTATGAAAAAAAGAAGACACTACCCCCAAGAAAAGGAAAAACTAGTTCTGGTCACATCAATTTCAAACTTATATTGGCTTGGTTAGTCCACCTAAAATCCAAATAGTCCAAAATTTTGAGCCAAACGGATATGGCTTAAATATATATTGCAAGTTTTGGCAGTAAAAAGTAACAAGAAAAGTATTAACTCCACATACACCCCTTGCGTTATAATTTTTGCTCAAATATATCTCTTGTTTTTTATTTGGATGAGATTAATAGTGAAAAAATATAAATTAATGTTGAGTTTTCTCATGTAAACAATAAAATAAGAAACCGAACTTGGTGGAAAATAAAAAAAATAAAACTAAACATATGAATAGTAGTTCGTGTTATTGTTAATGTTCCTAAGTTCAATTAATCTCTTCATTTATGAAATCTTGTCGAATTGAGTATTTAAAGAAAAGACAAGAAACTTAATTCTTAGACAATTAGATGATACAAATCCTATTGCGTAATAACATTCTCTTAAAAATTATCTCTTTTTCTCACTAGGTAATTAAACAAATGATTAATCAAATAAAAAAGTATTCAAATTCCACATGCATTTTAATTAAGAAATTAATCAAAACCTCTAATGTAACAAAAGGGATCAAGTTATTACCAATCAAAAAATGTTTGTTTCTATTATCTTAGAATCATGATTAAATTTCTTATGAGTCATAACGTGTTTAATCCTAAAATAATTAAAAAAACTTAATAAGAGAAAACAAGAGGATTTTAAAATTGTCTTACATTAAAAGTAATCTAATTGGAAACCAAACATACAAAGAAGTAAGGGAAAAAATTAGGTAGTAAATTTATCTCGGAAACATATATATTTAACTAACCTTAAGTCTGATTTAGTAAAATTAACCTTCAAAATTTTTGTTTCCCATCCTATTAGAACAATCATGGAACAACAAACAATTATAGTCTCAATTAAAGATAAGAGAAAACAAATTTAATTCTGAAATATGAACACAACATTTAACATTATTCTTTTATTGATATTTTTTTGTCAGACAAATTTAAGCGATAAATAACATATAAATTAAAATTTTATTAAATAGCTTAATTCAGCATAATTGCTTGAATCAAAGGCTATGTAGTATTTATTTTGATGACGGTGGCGGTGCGGTGGCATTGATCGCCATCTTCATTCCGGCAGCACACAAATCAGGTCGAGTACTACAGATAAAATAATTACCTCCAAAGGCCAAAGGGATTTTATCATCTCCTGAATCAAACTCCGTAGCTCCAT